CTTGAAATGACTCAAGTTGAAGATTCAAGCTGGATCATGCATTTTTTAAACAAAGGCCACGTCTGGTTCACAACACCTTTATCCTGCACGGCCAGACACCTTTTATCCCGAAGGTTTTAACTTTTCTGCTTGATTCATTTAACTGATTGACTCTGGAGCCATTGTATCTGCTGGTTCATTTTTAGCAATAACTGTGTTGGGTGTATCATGTGTAAATATCTGTAATAATATTAAACTTTAATTTAAAACAACAGTTGATAGACTGGTGTGATTATGATGTCTGTACTCGGGGATCTTAAGAAGTGGATTCAGGTAGAAAACTTATGAACAATGAATGTCACTGTTGTGGATCGTTCTGTGAATGACCTCAGTTAGGAGAAACAGATCAGTTCTGACTAGACTGACGAGCTAGTAGCAAGTAGAGTGTGACACGGGAATGGATTTTCTTTGCTTTCCCAACACACTCCCATTGGGGAAATAAATAAATAAATCTTGTCTCAAGAAGGCAAGGAAAAATAAAACTCCCTCCAATCCCAATAAAATAATTCCCACTCCCTCTCAGTCCCAGCAGGTGTTTTTAAGGTGTGGCGAAACTGAACAAAACCAAAAAAACAATTGCAATGTCGTGAAGAGTTTCCACTCCGTCACTGACAACTCCCAAAACACGGAAACTTCAGACTTCCTGACAGCGATTCTGGGGTGATGCGGACATTTCCCCCTCAATTGGTTCCTCCAACTCAGTTTTTGTCCATGTTGTCAAATGTGGCATCTCGTGGCTTGTGGAATGACATTCAGCGCTGGTCATGTGACTTCCAGTGACAAATCAGCCGCTAGTCAGTGACCAGTGTGTGCAACACAGACAGATGTGGGAGTGTCTCATGCAGGACATTTATGAGCCAGGACAATGTCCTCGTGGGCTTCAGATTTGTTACTCTGTAAAGTTGGGTTTTGTAGTGACCTCTGACCTTTACATATTAGACATATTTTTATTGTGACAAAAATCTGTTGAAATAATTCATAAAAAGAACCATTAATGTACTTTTTTGCAAAATTCAGTAAATGAGGAGTAGACAGTCCCTCTGCTAATAAACCAACAGAATTTATCAGAAAATTATTAGATTTTTTTTTTAGAAATGATGAAACACCCGAATCGATATGAAATATTTCTAGATGTTGTATTGGTTCATAAAGGGTTATTGTGAGTGATGTAAATGGTAAACAGCCTGTATAGCACCTTCTTAAGGCTCTACAACCCCCCAAAGCGCTTCACAACACAGTCATTCACCCATTCACACACTGGTGGGGGTGAGTTACCATGTAGCCACAGTGGCCCTGACACACACACTGGCAGAGGCGAGGCCTGCTGAACACTGGTGCCACTGGTCCTTGCAACCTAGTTACTGGACGGCCCGCTCTACCTCCACACACACACACACACACACACACACACACACACACACACACACACACACACACACACACACACACACACACACACACACACACACAGGCTCTCCCACAGTAGTGTGATGTCACTGTTCCTGGAGGCAGTGGCTGAAACAGAAAATTGGTTTTGTTGAGTTTCTCAGCTTCTAGTTAGACTACCCTAACCCTAGTTAGACTACTCTAACCCTAACCCTAACCCTAGTTATACTACTCTAACCCTAACCCTAACCCTAGTTAGACTACTCTAACTCTAACCCTAACCCTAGTTATACTACTCTAACCCTAACCCTAGTTAGACTACTCTAACTCTAACCCTAACCCTAGTTAGACTACTCTAACTCTAACCCTAACCCTAGTTAGACTACTCTAACTCTAACCCTAACCCTAGTTAGACTACTCTAACTCTAACCCTAACCCTAGTTATACTACTCTAACCCTAACCCTAACCCTAGTTAGACTACTCTAACTCTAACCCTAACCCTAGTTAGACTACTCTAACTCTAACCCTAACCCTAGTTATACTACTCTAACCCTAACCCTAACCCTAGTTATACTACTCTAACCCTAACCCTAGTTAGACTACTCTAACCCTAACCCTAGTTAGACTACTCTAACTCTAACCCTAACCCTAGTTAGACTACTCTAACTCTAACCCTAACCCTAGTTAGACTACTCTAACTCTAACCCTAACCCTAGTTATACTACTCTAACCCTAACCCTAACCCTAGTTAGACTACTCTAACTCTAACCCTAACCCTAGTTAGACTACTCTAACTCTAACCCTAACCGCGGTTACAGACATGCCATTCTGTCTGGCATTTAGTTCAGCACAAATATCACAATAATACATTTTTTTAATTACCTCGCATTTGTAACACAGCTGCTAAAAGCTTCTGGGTGCGCCGTGCACAAATCTGATTATTGAAAAAAATGTCTGTCAATCAGAAAAAGATGAGCTCCTCTGCCTGGTCAGAATTAATCACTGTTTCTTCAAACTGAGGCTGTTCAACGTGCTAGCTCCAAAGTAAGTTTAAATCTGATTCTGGTCTTGGAGTGTATGTTCTAGCTGCTCCAACACACCAGACTCGATGATGAATCAGCTCCTCAGCAGGTCCTCGAGTTCTCCAGACGCCCGCTGATGGTGAGGATGTGGTAAAACGCTGCCACAGCCCAGAAACCATCTCATTACAGACGAGCCTCATCTAGGGAGATGGCAGTTTTCAGTGACATTCATATCATAATAAAATTGTTTAACTTTATTCAACCTTTATTTAAATCTTTGTGAAGCAATTATAACAAAGACTTGAAAGCTCTGGCTGTGCATGCAACAAGTCTTTCTCATTAGCTTCCTCTTTTAAGATGAATCACTGAAATAAATCATCTTTGGCACCTCATTCTAATTTTTCCAGTTTTACCTGTAATTCAGAGCTACGGTGCTACATGATTCATAAATCCCAATGTGTGTTTTTCTCCTCTCCATCTGTGTTTGTGTGTCACTCTCTGTTGATGAAGCCAGTTATTCCACCTCTGATTTTTAATTAAAACATTTATTCACAAAGCAGCCGAAATGAAAAGTCAGCGTCCGCCTGCTGCAGGAGCGGCTGGGAGGATTGTTTTAGAGAGAGCTTTACGGTCAGCACAGTTTTCATCACTCTAAACTAAAACACAACACAGATCTTCACAACAGCAGCAGCCAGCATGTGGTCAACATGGTGCACCAGTGAAAGCTACAAGCTGAAATCCTGGAAAAAACAAACCTTGTAAGTCTGTTTATGAAGAATGTTCAGATCATTTACACGTGAGGATGTTCAAAGAAGAGCACGAGTAATCCCGTTGTTTTATCTGGACATTACAAAGAAAATACATCTAAAGAACATAAGATGAACACTAGAGGGTGATTAAAACAGCACCAAGCAACAAGAATGCCGACGCTCTCTGCATGCTGGTTGTTACTGTCTGAATGCTTCTTCCTTCAACATGTCCGACTCCAGCGCGTGACTTGTCTTTGTTGCTCCTGTCAGACTGGCTGGTGATGGACAAATGCTCCTTGTTCTCCGAGTCTCTGCATGCTCGCTGAGCTGAGGCTGCATGAGAAGAATTAGAAATTGGCGTCTGAAGCGCGCCATCAAAGATCTCTCTGACCGTGAGCCTTGACCTTCATTTACATGGGAGATGGGAGGTCTTGTTTTCAGCTGAAGTGTGTGGGGATGCATCACAAGTGTCACATAAAGGCATTTTACCCAGATGGGCTCAAACATTAGTGCAGCACGTCTTGTGGATTGTGTTCTGTTTGGCCCGTTTCTGCAGGCTGTACGTGATGTTTATTCTTTTATCTTTGTTTATTTGTGGATAAGGGACTCGGGGTGAAGCATGGGCGTTTAAGAGAACACACACAGGTTTCCATCATTTCCTGTGTGGACAGTCCAGGAAATAGAAGAATAAAATTTATAATTTAAATAATTTAAAACTTATACTGGAACCAGTCACTAGCATAGGGGACAATTGTTGTTTCCAGTTTTGACTTCCTGGTTCCAGTTGGTTTGTAGTAATGGATCTAAGCTACCTCATACTAGCCTGGCAAGCCAGACTAAATAAATGTAATATTAGTCTGGCCACGCTCCGTAGACGGCTCTGGGTTGTGGGGCGGGTTCTACCGTTGTCTTCTGGACAATGAATGTGACATACTCTTGTTTCACTCTATTGCATCATCCCACCCACCAGGCATATAGAGGGCCCTGACTGGCCCACAAAGCGGATAAAGCTCTGTGATTTGTTCACTAAGCAGATGGAGCACTATGATTGGCCCACCATTATGGACCAATTACAGCTCTTTATGTGTTTGAAACCCCTCTAGAGAGCTGTGATTGGCCAGCCAGAGTCCTGGTAGGAGCTGCGGAGGTTCCAGTGGAGCGTGCCTAGACCAAATTCTTTGCAAAGCAAGAATTTGGTCTAGTTCACGAGGCTAGCCTCATACTATCACACCTCGGGATCAGTTTAACCTCATTCACAGCAGGTGTGGGATGGATGTGGAGCAGGTTCAGACCGAAATCCACGCGACCTGCTGCTGATCGTGTGAGGAACGTCTTCACAACGTTGGTCACGAGCTCACGAGGTAACGCCTACGTGTATAAAGGAGCTGGTAAACAAAATGTGTTCTCTTGCATTATCATATACTGTAAACTAAAATCCTTGTCATCAGTGCAAACAATAAAGCTGGAGATGAAGATGCAATGGGTTGGATTTTCAAATAAACTGGATGCACCTTGCTGGCACACGTTCTACTTCCTGTCTGGCTCATGGAATTTCTTCCACTTCATGACAATCCGCATGCGCCGTCCCAGACGCGCACAAATTCAGATCTGCGTCCATTCCACATTTGGTGTAAATGAAGCTTAACACTGACTGAAGTTAAAGCAACTTTATGTTTGATCCAAACATTTTAGATTTACAACTAATGAGTTTATGAGTTTATGAGAGGTTCATGAGATTCTTTTCTAACAAACACACAAGCAAAAACATTGTCATCCAAGCCCTGCTATACCACCACAGTGGATTTTAAGGTGCATTATGTAGAAATGAAGGAAAAATGACACCCTGTGGTAAAATGTGGTTACTGCAACCCCTTTAGCACTGCAGTATGAGCTCGCAGGAGACGCAGCACCCCCACACTCCCTGATGCTAAACAGTAGTTATGTCCCCCCTTCCTTTATTTTGAAAGGGGAAAAACTGAAAATCCTCACAGCCATCTGGATATGAAACATGTTTCAGTATAACCTTCCTTTCATAATGAATAAAAACATTAGACTCTTAGGACTTCCTCACTGTAAAATTCTTACTATATTCTTTCATACTGCACTTTTAACTAGCTACCTTAATTACTAAAATCAGTCACTTTGTGAAGCGTCGGGGGAAACGGTCCAAATGCAGCTGTAATTTTTATCACCTGAAAAAGGACTGCTGTCATTGTTTTTCTGATTCCTAAAAGCAAACTGAGCCAGCGGACCAGAGACTGGTAACAAATTAATATTAATATATTAGGAGAAAATTCATGGAATGAATCCGGTTCTGTGTGTGTTTGTTTTTAACGTGACAGATTAAAAGAGCAGTTTGATCAGGTTAGTGTCTTTATGTGAGGCACACTGGAGAGGTAACCACTCCGAAGTCGCAGTAGAGCCACCAGGGTGTATTGAGAGGCTCATTATTGAGAATTAAGCAGAGTCTGTGCAGAACAATGAGAGGCCCCGAGGTGAGGCCCGAGGCTGGCTGCACTGATACGGAGACCCAGGGGATCCTGCTCAGGCCCTCCCAATCCCATCCTCAGCTGCCAAGCTTCATCCTCTTCTGCCCCATCGTCAGCACACTAGACTAAGGTCCAGTAGACATAAGACAGAAGGTTTGCTCAATCCTCTCTGCCAAAATAGTGTTAGAAATATGTGTGTTCAGGACAACACAGCAAACTCTGCTTTCAGACACGAGCGTTCTCAGTTCCTCCTTCCTGCTGTTGCGTTATCACCGTTTGTTTGAACCACATGAGCTCAAAGACACATGATGGTTAATAGTGACTGCTGACAGGCTTTGCTACAGACACCTTTTCAGAAATACGAGTCAGCTGGAATCAGCTGTTTGTAACAAAATTACATTTTTTATTCAGTCATCATTTAAAAAATGTAATTTCTCAGACTGGCAATAAACAGATTTCATAGTTTTATATAGTAATGTCGATCCTTTATTATGTTAAACATATTCTTGTGAACACACACACACACACACACACACACACACACACACACACACACACACACACACACACACACACACACACACACACACACACACACACACACACACCAGACTATTAGCAATTATGTGGATTAAATTACTTGGGAGGCGGCTGAATGAATGAATAGATGGATGTGTGGATGATGGATGTTTTTTTAACATTCGTATTCAGAATTATAATTTAATTCTACGAAATGCAGCCTGATATCATTTTAAATAGTTGATCAAACAAAAACTTTATTTGAAGAATAAAACAAAAGAAAGGCTAGCCTTTTGAACATCAAGTCTCTGAAAAAAGATTGAATGAAATCTAATAAATTCCGTATAAAATAGTGAACAGTTTTGAGAGCACTCAGTTCTTTGATTAAAAATCTTATTTTCATAGCTGATGATGCTTGTTTTATGTATTTCATGTCTTCTTCTCGCTGCTCCCTTTGTGGGGAGGACAGGAGGAGGAGAGCGGGATGCGCGCGCAGCTTCAGGCTGTCGCTTCGACGGAACCGCAGCGAACAGATAAAAATCGAGTTTTTCTATTTAATTTTAGAATTGCGCCTTTTGTGTTGCTGCTGTCGGAAAGCACCGGTCTGAGGAGAGGTGTGCGAAAGCGCTAGGCTGTTCGGGAGGTGAGTTCATCTCGGTGTTCGTAGCAAAACTGGCATTAATGTAAAATTAAATGATTGCGGGCGCTTTTCTGTCACCAGCAGGCTGTAATATTCATTATTTTAAAGGGTTTTAAAGGCTGTGAGTCGCAGAGCTGGAATGTTCTCGGTTTTTAAAGCTCGCCGTCCGTTTGTGACGGTGCAGGCAGCTAGCTTGAGCGGCGGGGTTTGACAGCTCTCACCGGCTGGCGGAGAGCTCGTTATTACGGCTTTCATGTGTCCTGTTGGTGCTGACCCGGAGCACAGCCTCCCCGGTCCTCACGGCGGAGAGCGAGCCATCAGGGACCGCTGACGGCGGTGTCTGTCCGGGAGGTAACGGGGCGTGGAGCAGGAGGCAGGGGGGTCATGGAAGCGCGAAGAAAGAAAGACGAAGGAGGAGAAATCTCCTCGGATGAACCCGACAGCCATCAGGGTCTGCTGCAGTGCTCCATGGTGGGCTTAGCTGCTTCTGCGTCTCCATGTCCATGTGTCTCCATGTCCATGCGTCTCCATGTCTATGTGTCTCCATGTCCATGTGTCTCCATGTCTATGTGTCTCCATGTCCATGTGTCTCCATGTCCATGTGTCTCCATGTGTCTCCATGTCCATGCGTCTCCATGTGTCTCCATGTCCATGCGTCTCCATGTCCATGTGTCTCCATGTCCATGCGTCTCCATGTGTCTCCATGTCCATGTGTCTCCATGTGTCTCCATGTCCATGTGTCTCCATGTCCATGTGTCTCCATGTCCATGTGTCTCCATGTCTATGTGTCTCCATGTCCATGTGTCTCCATGTCCATGCGTCTCCATGTGTCTCCATGTCCATGTGTCTCCATGTCCATGCGTCTCCATGTCTATGTGTCTCCATGTCCATGTGTCTCCATGTGTCTCCATGTCCATGTGTCTCCATGTCCATGCGTCTCCATGTCTATGTGTCTCCATGTCCATGTGTCTCCATGTCCATGCGTCTCCATGTGTCTCCATGTCCATGTGTCTCCATGTCTATGTGTCTCCATGTCCATGTGTCTCCATGTCCATGCGTCTCCATGTGTCTCCATGTCCATGTGTCTCCATGTCCATGCGTCTCCATGTCTATGTGTCTCCATGTCCATGTGTCTCCATGTCCATGCGTCTCCATGTGTCTCCATGTCCATGCGTCTCCATGTCTATGTGTCTCCATGTCCATGTGTCTCCATGTCCATGTGTCTCCATGTCTATGTGTCTCCATGTCCATGTGTCTCCATGTCCATGCGTCTCCATGTGTCTCCATGTCCATGTGTCTCCATGTCCATGCGTCTCCATGTCCATGTGTCTCCATGTCCATGTGTCTCCATGTCCATGCGTCTCCATGTCCATGCGTCTCCATGTGTCTCCATGTCCATGTGTCTCCATGTCCATGCGTCTCCATGTCCATGTGTCTCCATGTCCATGCGTCTCCATGTCCATGTGTCTCCATGTCCATGTGTCTCCATGTCCATGCGTCTCCATGTCCATGCGTCTCCATGTGTCTCCATGTCCATGTGTCTCCATGTCCATGTGTCTCCATGTCCATGCGTCTCCATGTGTCTCCATGTCCATGTGTCTCCATGTCCATGTGTCTCCATGTGTCTCCATGTCCATGTGTCTCCATGTCCATGCGTCTCCATGTCCATGTGTCTCCATGTCCATGTGTCTCCATGTCCATGCGTCTCCATGTGTCTCCATGTCCATGTGTCTCCATGTCCATGCGTCTCCATGTCCATGTGTCTCCATGTCCATGCGTCTCCATGTCCATGCGTCTCCATGTGTCTCCATGTCCATGTGTCTCCATGTCCATGCGTCTCCATGTCCATGTGTCTCCATGTCCATGTGTCTCCATGCGTCTCCATGTGTCTCCATGTCCATGTGTCTCCATGTCCATGTGTCTCCATGTGTCTCCATGTCCATGCGTCTCCATGTCCATGCGTCTCCATGTGTCTCCATGTCCATGTGTCTCCATGTCCATGTGTCTCCATGTCCATGCGTCTCCATGTGTCTCCATGTCCATGTGTCTCCATGTCCATGCGTCTCCATGTGTCTCCATGTCCATGTGTCTCCATGTCCATGCGTCTCCATGTCCATGTGTCTCCATGTCCATGTGTCTCCATGTCCATGCGTCTCCATGTGTCTCCATGTCCATGCGTCTCCATGTCCATGCGTCTCCATGTCCATGTGTCTCCATGTCCATGTGTCTCCATGTCTATGTGTCTCCATGTCCATGTGTCTCCATGTCCATGTGTCTCCATGTCCATGCGTCTCCATGTGTCTCCATGTCCATGCGTCTCCATGTCCATGCGTCTCCATGTCCATGTGTCTCCATGTCCATGTGTCTCCAGCTGATGATGGCTTCCTGCAGATACACTGTAAAAAATATTTACCCAGATTGTTTCAGAAAACTGTAAAAATACAATTTCCTAGAAACGGGAAATTATGATTCATTTGATTTGATAAATCATTTGTGAAGTTGTAAAAATAAAAAATTTAATTCCAATAGCACATTATGTAAACTAGGGCAGCGTGCTCATGATAGTGATAGCGGTGTAACTTATGTGTATTTAGATTCAGGTTTTTGGGTACGGAACGTTGGGTTTGGTACAGGTACGTACCGAGTTCTCACAGGGATGTGTAACTGCAAACATCATCCATCAGCCTGCAATACAAGTAGCTGTGTCCCAATTCAGGGGCAGTGTCCTTCAAAAGACTCAATTTGTACATTGACTTTCTACAAAATATTATTAAACTATTGTTCTAAGTTTTTATTTCTGTGTTCTCAGATCATTTTGGCTAAATTACATTTCTGAACAACTTTATTAACTTTGGCAATAATTCAGCATTTGCCTTCCACCTTATCAACACGACAATAGCTGAAGTGGAAAAGAATAGTTAAGATGAACTGTAGCGGTGAGTCATTTTAGGGGGTTCAATTCGATTTCAATTCAGGATCCTACCATTTGATTATCAATTACCATGATTACCATTATTTTTGATGCATTTTAGTCGACTTTTAGGTTTTTTTCTCGGGTCATAGTTTTTTGTACTTTCAAATTAATTTAGCACACAATTCAAGTTACCAAATACCTTTTGCTCCAGTATCCTTTTAATGTAAAACTTAAGACATACTAGGGCTGCACGATACTTCGCAAATGTATCGTCATCGCGATGTCAGCATGCACAATACGCATATCCCACAGAACAGAAAAAAACACAATACATTGACAGCTCAAATGTTTGCTAGACTTAATGCATTTAGTCAAAGGGAAGAATTACGTTTTTGACAAATCAAATTGAACTCTTCACTCATTTGGCCAATCTGGTGGGTTCTTATAGGTTAAATGCCCACCCCCTAGGTGGATGGCACTTCATTTGAATAGCTAGTGAAAATCTGAGTTAGCTTCGTTTTGCTCTTACTGCCGATTCTGCTTTTCCCAGGATCCCCTGATTGCCTTTTGTTGTTAATTTTCCTTTTGATCACAATTGTTGCTTTTCCCATTTTTATGACATTTTTTAGTCATTTTAAACTTTTTAGTTTTTTATGTTTTTTTTCTTGAGTTAAGAATTTGTTTGTTTATTGCAAGTCATACCATCGCAATATTAATCACTGTTATCATGCATCACAGGTTTTTTTTTAACATTGTGCAGCCCTACCACATACCCAACATACTTCTGTATGAATTTTACAGGAAAAGCGTGAATATAAAAGTAAACGGGGGCAGTCAGTTTTGCATTTGTAAACAGAATCAGCTGAGACGGCAGACTGAAGCGATGAGATCGGAAGCTCAAATCACCAGACAGTTCACGTGGGACTTTAAAGGACAAACACTTTTTGGAGCGGCTCGTGAAAAAACGTAAGGAGCATTTCTTCAATTGGTATAAAAAAACAAGTTGTGTTCAAGCTAACAGGAAATTTGTGATGGCGCAGAGATGGTCCCCACACCCACTTTATAGCACCATCGCGTAATCTTTGCGAAAACACATGATGGTGCCACATTACCGCCACTGACCACTTATAAATGACCAAAGGCTCCCTGGTGCTGCATCAACTTTGCAGAAAAGTGGCACTGTAGTTTAATGAAAAAAGCTGTAGTTGCGTGCGAGTTTTATTAAACCTTCCTTGATTGTTGGCTGGTGAGGAGGAGCAACCACCAGCTTCTTCTCTTCATCCATCCCGGGATGGAAACATGTATGGTGCTGTCGCACATTAGTAGTGTTGCTGTTGTGTTTTATTTTAGTTTTGCACAACTTTCCTTTAATGTCCCTGAGGAGTAAATCTCACGCTCAGTGGCTAAAGCTAATAATCTTCTGCCTTTGGGAGCCTAAGTCACGCCCGTCTACTTTCGGCCCACAGGTCCCTGGAAGAACAAAAAATGAATGCAAGTCAATGGGGTTAAAAACGCTATAGTCTAATTTAGCTTGTTCTGGGCCATGGATTTCACTTATGATGTCCGTGAATTTTATTGAAGCATTTTGATACCAAGAAAGCACTCATTTTCAAATGAGGGGAAACATTATTTTAGGTTTTGTGTGAAAATAAGTCCAGGACTACAAATACGCATCACCAAAGTGATGCCATCGACCCAGACACGGGAAAATGGCCGTAAGTGCAGCGAACCGCAAATCCTGTCTCCAGGAGGAAAGAGCCACCATAAATCTTGCCATTTGGTAAGTAGCAGCTAGGCTAGGGGAGAGGACATTCTGTGGTGACATCATACATGCGAAATACCGATGTCTTGTTTGTAGTCATTACAAACTTTTACAAGCTGATAAATCTCAAAGTACGTGATTGGCGTGGTTGAGACACACATCATTACTTTTCATTTAAATTGCACTACAACATACGTGTGATCCAGGGCGTAAGCCAAAGCAGATTAGAAAATAGATTTTTTAGCTCCATTGACTAGCATTAATTTTTTTGTTCTTCCGGGGACCCGTGAGCCGATCGGAAGATGCCCTAAATTGTCTTGGCAGAAT